GACATGGTGAGACTGTCTTTTTAAAAATTCCATTAAGATATGTGGACTTAGCTGGGTGGCAGTGGTGCATGCCTTTAACCCCAATGCTCAGGAGGCAGAGGCAGGCAGATCTCTGTGAGTTTGAGGTCAGCCTAGTCAGTCTAGAGAGTGAGTTCCAGGACAGCCTTCAAAGCTACAGAGAAACCCCCATCTCAAAAACAAAACAAAAAAACCAAAACCAGAGAAAGACAGACAGAAAGAAAAGAAAGAAAAGAAAGGAAGAAAAAGAAAGAAAGAAAAAGAAAAAGGAAGAAAGAAAAAGAAAGAAAAAAGATGTGGACTTACTGGTAACTGTCAAATTTAATATGCAATAATTTGATTTGGGTTGTGGTGGCAGAGCCTGTAAAAGCAGCCTCAGAGTTTGATGTAGGATTGCCATGATGTCAAGGCCAGCCTGGGCTAAACAGACCATTTTAAAGTCATGTTTTCAAAAGTTGCAATTATAAACTTTGAATGTGGGGCTGGAGACATGGTTCAGCAGCCAAAGAACCTGGGTTCAATTCCAGCACCCACATGGCAGCTCACAACTGTCTGTAACTCCAGCCAGGGAATCTGACACCTTCACACGAATGCACATGAAATAAATTTAGATTAAAAACAAAACTTTGAATGTGAGCTGGTGTGGCACCCACTGTAATTCCAGGATCAGGAGGATGAGGAGTTCAAGATGAGTCTGAGTTACAAAGTGATACCCCATTTCACATAACACTACTCCCCCAATAAAACCATAAACATCTTGCAATACATACTTATGCACATGTAATTTCACTTTTATCTTGCCTTGAGAGTTCCTTAGATAGCATATGAAATATCAAATTTATCATCAATGTCAACTGCAGTGTTGGTTAGCGTAAGGAATATTATGGGGTTTTTCTTTGGTGAATGCAGCTTGAAAGGGAAGCAGTTGCCAAGAAAAAAAATTATAGAATCAAAATGTTGAAGTTTAAGATCTAGCAGATCTTGTAAGCTGATGACTTTCAGTTAGAATCTCACAACCTTCCTCCACACTCCATTTGGGTTTAAGATGCTGTTGCCTGATTCACAGAGTGTTTCAGGAAAGATACATGTACATAGACAGGATCTGCCCAAGCTCCCAGAGGCTCTGCTTGGACTATGTATCCACATGAGAAACTCAGTTTATTTCAGGTAGCTAGGAGATGCAGGAGAAACACAGGTCTACCTTCCTGGAGTAGCCAGAAGCTTCTTCTAAATGAACCTCTGACTGGAGGATGAGCAAACTGACCTACAGTGTCCAATGGTGTCAAGAGCAACTAAAAGCCACTCAAACCTATCCCATGGTGAGGGTTACATTTGACTCCCAAGTACTAAACTTAAACGTAGTGTCCTTCTGAAGACGTCCTCGAGGAAGTGAACACAGGTCTTCAAGAGCCAACAGAAAGCAACCCGGGCATTATAAAGGTCAAGCTCACTGTCTGGCAACAGTGGCTCTCAACAAAATGTAACGAAACATATCACCTTTTATTAAAACTTGGTTACTTAGAAAGCCTGTAGTTTGTTAATGAATATATAAACATAAAAAGACAACTCAGCCAAAACACAGTAGTTACTTTGAATTTTAAATTCCCCTACTCCTTGTAGGAGCTGGGAAAATGCCACTGAAGTTAAAATGGAAGGTAATCTGAAGACTCAGGAATTAATCACAGGGCAGGGGTGTATTTTGTAGTAGAGTGCTTGACTTCCTGGCTGAGGGAGGACCTCTCTTCTGACGGGATGTATGTGTGCCTGTGTGTATTTACCGGGATGAAGCTAAAAACATGAAAACCCTAAAGGTAAAACCATGCCAACGATTTTACTGGTTTTTCATGTTTGGTAGACTTAAATAAATAAAACAACTTTGTTGAACAGATCTTTTTAATACAGTATCTAGATATACATGGACAACCAAATAATAGTAAAACCCCACAAATTAATGTTTTAACAAATTACAAACTGTTGGTAAAGATTATGTGCTGGATTTAAAAGAAATAATAAATCTTGTAATCATTAACTCTTTGTATAAAACCAATACATCGTAGTGGTAGAAATTTATCTTTCATTAACACTCCACATAAAAACCGTTTCCCTCAGCATTCCCTTCTCCCTTTCTTTCTCTTTAGTTGTCTTTTAAGTGGGAAAATAAAGTTGAATTTATATTAGCAAATGAAAGTGCAAGTTTGTACAGCTAGGCTCAGCAGCAAAAGTGAAGAATGATGACAAGAAACGAAAAGCTGATGGACGCCACACAGACCAAGGACATCCAAGAAGGTCCTTGTCCCCACACAGTCGACATTCCATTATTTTTTCATTGCTCTGAAACGAGCAGAACCAAACTCTTTTTTGATCTAAAGAAATATTAAATATTTATTTCCCCCACATCATTTGTGATCACGTAAGGCAGAGAGATAAGTCCCACCATCACTGGGGACAGCAGCAACATACACACTTCAGAAATAGCCCAGCATCATCTTAACATTCTCCCACGGCAGCAGACGGAGTGCAACTACTAGAGCATATTTGCAGCGTTGTCCTGGTTCTAATTTATTTATCTGAAAAAAAAAACCCTTTATAAATACATTACTTAAGAGGATAGCAAATTATTTTCTTGCTCTGAAAAAAAAATGTTTTCACATTTTCAAACTTGTTGGTATAGTTCTGTAAAAGGAGTCTCAAGAAGACAATGGCAGCCAGGTCTGTAGGATGCCCGTGTACAAGGTATGTTTATGAGAGCCTGGTGGCCTGGCCATCTTCTGCCTCTACAAACAGCGTTTGTAGTAACATTTAAACAAGTAGGTTTGTTTAGACAACCCCCGTTCACTCTGCTTAGAGAGCAAAGAGGTACTCATTTTCAAGTATTACATTGTAAAAGGTATTTTTATTTTTGCCCAACTTTGTATGCTGAAGTTTAAAAATGAAAAGATCTGTGTGAAAAATCATGCTTTGTCAGTCCATTTCTTTTATAGTCAAATGCTCTTTTTTTTTTGTTTGTTAGAGAATGCAGAAAAATATTGATTTGCAAAGAAGGACACTGGAAAAGCCACCTCAGGGTGTCAGAGAAGGAGCATTTCTTTCTAGTGGCGGAAATGATTAGAAAAGCTGCCCAGTCTGTTGTCTTTAGCTGGCTTTAATAAATCTTCAAAATGATGGTCAAGAAGTCTTTAGAAAACTGGAGGGAGGTGCTCCTGTGGAGCCTGAAGTTTCATTAACTGTAGAAAATGTTTGCTTTGGTTCTTCAGAGGAATGTTCATATAACTTCTACATGAGGAGACAGAAAACAGATTAATACAGAATCATCCAAAATCTCATCTATCGGATACTACGGCAATATCTTATATTTCTAAAAGAAAATCACCCCGACTTTATATATACTATCTATAAGGATGCGTGATTTGGGTGCTGAAGTATATACTTAGTAGGAGAGTACTTGCCTAGCACACATGAGGCTCTGGGTTCAATCCGCAGCACCAAAAAAACAACCAAATGTAAACAAAAATGGGAGAGTGTGTTGGGGCATAAACAAATTTAAGTTAATGCCAGTCTGAGGAAAAAATGTATGTCCTTTCAATGCAGTTTAGGGAATATCATTGACTTAGAAACTCCATGCTTTGATAATTTAAATCCATAAACTCTAAGAAAACTACATTCATTTGTCTTGCATCCTCAGTGTTCAAAGCTTGGGGTTCCAAACTTCCATGGAGGATGAAGGGATGTTTATTCGTAAGTAGTCTCCCAAAGGAACACTGTACTGCTCCAGACCAGAAACTAGACTGCTTCCCAGGGAAAGGTGGTGGAAGGAGGAGCAAGCACTGGGAATGGAATGGCAGATAGCTTAAAAGATGATCCAGAACATGGCAAGAGAAACAGAAAATCATGGGGAAGTGTTTTCTTCCTAGTGAATCTGGGATGTGACACCAGGAAGCAGCATCCGCCATGTTTGTTTCCACCAACAGAACATTAAGCAGGCTGGTTCTGAAGGCTTAACAATCGCATGGGCAGACCACAGGGGGCTGGACAATCATATTCACAGCCTAGAAAATGGAGTTAACTAAAGCCAATAATGCCCTACAGGAGAAAAAGAAGGAAGTTTCATTTGGGGACTGGCTCATCAGGGGCCTCTTCACTTGTTAGAGTGTTACAGGTTCACAGGTGAAACAGTTTGATCACAGTCCTCTCTATATCTGGAATTTGGCCAGTTCTCTCCTTAAGAAATGCTGGTTGTTGAATGTGATCTGCTGGAAAGACAGGTAGACAAAACCTAGGCTGGCTGAGATAGAGAACTGGGTCTATTCCACACATCCCTGACATAGCTAGGACTGTGTTATGGAGCTGTCAATGACCACTGAGTTAGTAATATTTGATATTGCTTTTTATTTTGGTTGCTAGTATAGCTATTGTTCTTTTTGCATGAAGACCTTAGGTCAATTTGTCGTGAAGACTGTTTAAGAGAGTCCAAGGCAGACTCAGTAGTCATGAACAAGGAATGAAAGACTCTCAAGCTCCATGAGATTCTGGCTTGGAGTGCTGTTCTTACCACTGATATCCTAACTGTGTTATGTTGTATTTTAAAGACAGTAGTAACATATGAACCGAGGTTGCAAAACCCAAATGAGAGAAAAATGGCAAGAAAACCCACGGCAGTCTTCAAGTATTGATGACCTGAGGAAGAGGGACAAAGCCCCAGTCTCATTTCTAGTGAAGCAGTTGGCCCAGTGGTGCATCAGTTATAGAAGAGTCTACCTCAATGTGAAGTCTCTCTGATGCTTGGCACCCAGTGCTACTCAAAGGCTGGGTAATGCTCCTTGGGTGCTACAGACTGAATAAGAGGGCACAAAGGGCTTAGAAGTGGCTCAAAGCAACTCAAAATTCAACGTGTATGATCCATGTACAGTCTTCTACAGTGGCTTACTTGTTCTCTCAAAGAACAAAACAACCATCCACCCTCTCTTGGGTTTCAGCTCTGATGATTACAGGAGGCGGTTGAAGACTAGCTCACCTGCTGTCTGTTGTGTTTGCACACCATCTACCTGAGGTAGGGGCCCAAGTGTCCCTTCATCATTAAAGGCCAAGATTGGTTTCAAAGGAATTTCTGGGCTCTCATTGTTGGTGACATCTAATCTGGATGCTTTTGATCCAACAGGTAAGTTTATAATTTCTTCAAAATTTTCATCTTGAGCAGACATTCCATTTTCATTTGGCTCTTTTCCCAAAATTGGAGAACTAGGGAATGTGAAAGGTCAAAAACAGAATGAGTTAGAATTAAGGTTATTTTAGAATGAAAAATTCTTTAAAAAATTTTTTACAACTTTGCAATAAAACAGGAATTCAGTGCCATAGGGATGGTTCAGCAGGTGGAGGCACTTGTTACCATTCGATACAAGCCTAATGGCCTGAGCTTACTCCCCAGAATCCACAATAGGACAATTTGCTAGAACAGATCACTACCAAAGGAAACTACCAAAGGTTATCAAGTTCTTCATTTCCTCCTCTTCCTCTTCCTCCTGGCTCCTCCTCCTCCTCCTCTAATACAGGGTGTCTCTATAGAGCCCTGGCTATCTGGGAACTCACTATGTAGACCAGGCTGGCCTCAAGGTACAGAGATCCTCTGCCTCTGCCTGGGATTAAATTCTTAAAGATAAAATTAAATTACATCTATTTATTTCTATGTGGGCATGTATATACACATGCCATGGGGTGCATGCAGAGGTCAGAGGGCAACTTGCAGGAGACATTTTTTTCTCCTTCCAACATGTGTCCTGAGGATGGAACTCAGGTCATTAGGGCTGCCGACAGTCACCGACAGTACCTGCTGAGCCATCTTGAAAAGGCCTCACCCTTTTCAGCTCTATGTGCTTCTGGGCATGGTGGTAGACACTTAACAGTCCTAGCACTCAGGAGACTCTCTGCAAACTTGAGGCCAGCCTGGCCTACAGAGTGAGTTCTAGGCCAACCAGTGTGAGTGCCTGATCCCTATAAAATTCTATATGCTTTCAGTGGTGGATCTGTTAAGGGGAAAGAAGATAGCTGAGGGAAATGGCTCTAGGGCTTGACAAGAATCCTGCCAAGGAGGCAATGTGCATAAAAGAATCCTCATACATGACTGATGAGGATGTAAATTAGTTCTCATTGTCTCTGTATATGTCTCTCTGTTTTGTTTCTTTTTCTTTTTCTTTTTTTCCTGAGACAGGGTCTCACCCTGTTCACTCTGTAGGCCAGGCTAGATTCAATAAAATGTAGCCAAGGATAGCCTTGAACTTTGCATATTTCTACCTCAATCTTCCAAGGGCTGGGAATACAAGTGTGTGCCACTGTGCCCTGCTGTTTTGTTTTTATTTGTTTTGTGTATTTTTCTTTATTGTTGAGACAGGGTCTTCACTCTGTAGCCCAGGCTGTCCTCAAATAAGCAGAAATCCAACTGCTTTAGTCTCTCCATGTTGCAATTATAGGCATGAATGCTTTTTAAACAGTCTTGCTATGTAGTCCTGGCCAGCCTCAAATTTGCAACAATCTCCTGCCTCAGCTTCCTTTTAAAGTGCTGGGGTCACTGTACCCCACTTTTCAATATATCAAAAATACTGGCATTCAAAGAGTTCTTAGTAAGTACAGACTGAATCGCCTCTCTCCCCTTCCCCTTCTTCTCTTCTGTGTATTAAGCTGACTAGTGATGTAGGCTCTCTCTGTAGTTCAAGTTTGCCTTGCATTTTTATCCTCCTGCTTCAGCCTTCCAAGAAGCAGGGACTGCAAGTCTACACCAATAGAGCTGCCTGTAATAGTCTATTTTTAATTTAATTTTTACAAAATTATAATTTCACATGTCAATCCCCCCCACCCCACCCCCTGCCCCGTAATAGTCTTTAATAGTCACTGAAACCTCACTAACAAGAGTGAAGAAAAAAGTGAGTTTCCCTTTCTTAGAGTTACAAGTTCTACAAAAAATTAAAGAGACAAGTGAAAAATAAATTAAGTTAAAAATAAAACTCTGGCATCCCACCTGGGGGTGAAGATAGTAGTGCTTTGCACTGAATATAGCAATAAGAAAGGCCTCGGTTTTTTTTTGTTTTGTTTTGGTTTTGGTTTTTTTTTTTTTTGGTTTTTAGAGACAGGGTTTCTCTGTGGCTTTGGAGGCTGTCCTGGAACTAGCTCTTGTAGACCAGGCTGGGCTCGAACTCACAGTGATCCGCCTGCCTCTGCCTCCCGAATGCTGGGATTAAAGGCGTGCACCACCAATGCCCGGCGAAAGGCCTCGGTTTTTAACTCACCTCTCTGTGGTCACTTCTGATTGTTGTAAAGTGACTCCGTGTGCACTGTGTGCAGACTGTCCATTTCCTGGAGAGTTCATACATGGTAGTGCAGATACCTCTGTACACAGCAAGGAAAGCAAACAGTTACTAATATCCTCCAATCAAATCCAACCCCTAGGAACCAGAACTTGGATATATGACTTGACTCTACAACTTACTGCCTGTGGGGCATTGGGCAGTTCAAACCCTAATCCTTCCTGGATAATGGTACCTGCCTGGCAGGCTACTGTGAGAACTAAATGCGTTAACAGGGGTAAAGTTCTTACTGCTCAGCAGACTGAAAGGCAGAAATAAATGTTACTATTTTATTTTTTGTTTGTAGCACTTTAGTTTTGGAAACACACACACACACACACACACACACACACACACACACACACACACACACACACACACAAACACACAAACACACACACACTTCACAAATGGAAGCCCACTGTGTGCTGTCCCTAACTTTGCCACCTAATTTGTGACTTGATGTTGGAGTTCAGCTTAAGGCAACATTATTGACATCTGGCTCAAATCTAGGATGGGCTAAGTGAAAGTCTTATAAACCTTGATAGCCTATGTCATTGGTGACATTCTTGGAATTACCTCATTATGCAGTGGGGGTGGGTGAGGTGGAATACCCCAATGGCATGCATGAGGCTGGAGATTCAATTGTGAGCAAAGCAAAGCAAAACTGCAATAGGGTTATTATGCTGCCACTGTGTGTGTTCTCCGGACAAATACAGCTAGAGCATGATCAAGTAAGCATGTGATCTCCACTATCATACAGAGAAATGAAACCAATCCTAACTAGACAGGAGTATGAAAATTAAGGTTCATTTCATTTTTATTTAAACCATTATTTGTTTTGAAATCTCCAAGAAACAATAATCTCTCCAAAGATCACAGTATATGAATAAGTAAGTTACAATGAAACCAGCACACTTTACATTTTACCTCTCTTTTGAAGTCAGGACCAAAAGAAATAATGTTTAATTTTTCTTTCTGAGACTCGTCATAAATACAAGTTACAAACATGTAAATTTAAGGTGGGGTAGTAACATAGGCGTGTAACCTTAGCACCTGGGAGTCTGAGGAAGGAGGTAAGGAGTTGAAGGTTACCCTCAGGTGCATAGTGAATTCAAATCCAGACTGTAGAGCAGAATAAGACTCTAGTTCAAATGAAACTCCAGACAGACAGACAAAACCCTATACAAATGTGTACATTTGAAGCCCTTAGGGATAGATGGCTCAGTTAAAATCAACCATGTCAAGCAGTTTACAACCAGCTGTAAGTCCAGCTACAGGGGCTCTTCTGGCCTCTGTGGGTACACACAGACACAGACGCTGACACACACACACACACACCTACCTACCTTTAAAAACTCTTTTGAAGCCCTTAGAGAGGAAATGAGTGTAGCCCCTCACCCACTCTGATCTCCATAGTAACATTTCAACTGACTTGAATTCACTGATAGAAAGAAATACCTGTTTCTCCAGTGAGAACTCCCTTGGCTATGTCACCATTTCTTTGTTCAGTGGTTTTCTAGAAAAAGGAGAAAAAACAATTTAAAAATTTAAAATTGTTGTTCCCAGTGGTAGAGTGCTCCCTGGGTACCTGTAAGGACCTAGGTTTGATCCCCAAGAAGATGGGGGTGTGAAAAGAAAAAGCCATATCAAGATAGGTAGAGCTAGCACCGCACTGGGCTGTAGTCCCTGCACTTGGGAAGAGGAGGCAGAAGATGTAGAATCTTCAAGGTCATATTCAGTGAGGCCATCCCGAGGGACATGAGACCCTGCCTCACAGAACAGAGGAGTCACTAGAAAAGGCCACGCCAGCACCTTGTCTGCATTCTCTGTCCTCCGGGTTCTCCTCATAATCTCTTCAAGGCGCTGCAAAAAAGAACACATAAAAGAGAGGATGAGATACAGAAAGCATGCCGGCCTGGCACATTCTGGCAATAAAATAAGTAGCAAGTTATTAGGATGTGGAGAAAGTATAATTCACAGTTCTTCATCCTAACTGGAGTTATTAATAGAGTTGGAGCCATTTTAACTTGTCTGATAGAAGTAACTACTTCGGGGAAGGTAGAAACTGGCAGCTTTCTTGGAAGTAATAATAAAATACCAAGGGCTGTTTCTCAGACAAGGGTAGAACACTATGTTCCTGACCAAAGCTCCAGTCTCTTGGTCTTCAGGCAACTTGAGATCCAGGTAGTGAGGGGAACCATGCTGGCTCCAGGCTTCTGCCCCGGCCTACCTTCTTCCTCTCCAGGCGCTCCTGCTCTTCTCTCTGGAAATGCTTCTCTCGCTCCTGCCGGGCCCTCTCTGCCTCCTCCCTGGCTCGGGCTTCTTCTTCTTTCTGAAAACAAGTTGTTTCTGCTGCTTATACCTAGTCAGGGTCTCCTGCAACCCAGGTCCCCACACTATCAGGCAGAGCCACCATGGCACTGACAGGTGAAGGCCATGATGGTGTACAATACCTTCCTTTTTTTTTGAGACAGGGTTTCTTTGTGTAGACCAGGCTGGCCTTGAACTCACAGAGGTCTGCCTGCTTCTGCCTCCCAAGTACTGGGATTACAGGTGTGTGCTACCACCACCCAGCTGCCTTCCTCATCTTGGAGGTGTCCTGTCCTTTTTGGAGCAGTGGGCCTTGCCTGCCTTGTGACTGCTTGGCAGCCCTGATCATGAGAGTAGCCCCAGTGGGGCAGGGCCCGCACCTGCTTTGTACCCCACTGATTTATAGACAGCCCCAGTGTGGGGCAGGGCCCGCACCTGCTTTGTACCCCACTGATTGATAGACAGCCCCAGTGTGGGGCAGACCCGCACCTGCTTCTGCACACGCTCCATCTCCTCCCTCTCCCACCGCTCCCGCTCCTCCTCCGCAAGGCGCAGCGCCAGCTCTTCTTTCTCTCGTGCCTGCTCCGCTTCCAGTCTGCGGGATTCTTCCTCCCGGCGACTTCGCTCTTCAGCCACCCTTCGAGACAATTCCTCTATCTTTTGTCTGGGAAAAGACAAGGATGAAGGCATATGAAGACACTACTAGTAGTTCAAAGATCTGGAGGGAAACCCCCACTTTGGCTACATTCCACCACGACTATGGATCAACCCTTGCTCTTCCTCTCCAGTTTCATTTCTGTCAGAAGTGGCACACAACCATTGCCATTTGGGGGACTCCTTGCTTTTTTTCAAAGGAGCTACAGTTCATTTTTAAATGGGAGAGACTTGAATACTTGAACACAGGCGATTTTTAGTAATAACTACTGAGTCCCCACACCTCAACAAGAAATCATAATTCAAAAAAAATTACATGTGTATGGGAATTTTGCCTGTATGTGTGTCTGTGTACTACATGTGTGCCAGGAGCCTGCAGAGGGCAGCTGATGCTATTGGCTGTGTAACAGATGATTGTGAGGCACCATGGGGTTTCTGGGAGCCCAACCCAGGTCCTCTGAAGGTGCAGCCAGTGCTCTTAACTGATAAGCCACCTCTCCTGACTCAAGGAGACCTTTTAAACTGAGATAATAATGTTTTGTGCCAGATCAGGATGAGGACAGGCCATGGAAACTTCCCATAAAACAAAGGGTAAGCACAGCCAATAGGGTGGTTCTAATCAGGCCTGAGGTCCTCCCCACCTCTGTCAAGAACAATTGCTGACATTTATCAGCCCCAGAAGGTGTCCAGTTAAGCAAACCATCAGAGTTAATTCTAACTATCAAGTTGACATAGTCTGAAGACCTGACTGGTCAACTGAGTAAAAACTGACGAGATCAGATTGGAATGTGGGTATGTCTGTGGGGGATTGTCTTGATGGTTAGCTATGTAGCAGAGCCCAGTCCACTGTGGGCAGTGATGCATATGAGGACTAGCAAAGCAAAGTGTGTGAACGAGCCAGAGAGCATGCCTCATGGGTTTCTGCTTCAACTTCCTGCTTGAGTTGCTGCCCCGGCTTTCCTCAAAGATGGACCATGACCTGGAAGTGTAAGACAAATGGGCTGTTTCCTCCCCTAAGTTGCTTCAGCTCAGACTGTTTTATCAGAGCAATAGAATGAAACTTAGAACACCATCCCTGGCTGTGGTAGTCTGAATAAGAATGGCCCCCATAGGCTCACATGTTTGAATGTTTCGTAATCAGGGAGTGGCACTACTTGGGAAGAAATAGGAGGTATGGTCTTGTTGGAGGAAGTGTATCACTGGAGGGCAGGCGGCTTTGGGGTTTCAAAAGCCCAAGCCAGGCCCAGTGCCACTGTCTCTTCCTGCTGCCTGTGAATCTACATGTAGAACTCTTACCTACTCTAGCACCATGTCTTGTTTGTGTGTTGCTATGATGAGGATGGATTAAATTTCTAAAACTGTAAGCCACCCCAATTAAATGGTGTTTCTTCACAGTAGAACACTAAGATGGAAGTTGGTACCAGGAGTGGGGTATGCAGAGATATTCCTAAGGCGAAGGATAAGTTTTTGCACCTGGCCCCTCCCACCACCAAGAAAGAAGCGTGTTTAGTGGATATATTTGGATTCTGGAGAAAGCACATTGCCCACTTGGGTGTGTTACTCTGGCCCATATAACAAGTGACTTGGAAACCTGCTAGCTTTGTGTGGGGCCTGGAACAGAAGGCTCTTCAACAGGTTAAGGCTGCTATGCAGGCTGCTCTACTACTTGGAACATACGATGTAGCAGACCCAATGGTATTTGAGGTATCAGTGGCAGACAGGGGTGCTGCTTGGGGCATTCAGAGGCCCCTATAGGTGAACCACAGAAGAAAACTTTGGGATTTTGGAGCAAGATTCTACCATCATCTGTAGACAACTATTCCTTCTTTGAAAGATAGCTCTTGGCCTGCTATTGGGCCTTAGTGGAAAGCTACCAAGTTACCATGCAACTTTAGCTGTCCACTATGAGATGGATGTTATCAGACCCACTAAGTCATAAGGTAGGATGTACATAGCAGCAATCTATTATCAGATGGGAGTGGCTTATGTATAATTGAGCAGGTTCTGAAGACGCATGAAGTTGTCCAAATACCTATGGTTTCTATTCCTGTTGCAATGCTGTTTGCTTTGAGGTATGCACCTATAGCCTCATGGGGTGTGCCCTATGATTGGATGACTAAGGAAAAAGACAACTAGGGTCTGTTTTACTGATGGTTCTGCACATTATGCAGGTACTACCCACAAGTGGACTGCTACAGATTATAGGGTATAACCCTGAAAGACATTGGTGAAGGGAAATCTTCACAGTGGGCAGATCTTCAGGTAGTACACATTTGTGTGGAAGGAGAAATGGCCAGATGTGCACTTGTTCACTGATTCATGGGCTGAAGCCAATGGACTGGCTAGATGCTAAGGGATTTGGAAAGAGCATGATTGGAAAATTGGTGAGAAAGACATCTGGGGAAGAAATATGTGGATAGACTTCTCCAGATGGACAAAGGGTGTGAAGATACTTGTCTCTTCACAAGGAGAAAAGTAGATGCTAATAGCAAGGTGACTTCAGCTGAGGAGGAGTTCAGTAATCAAGTAGATAGGATGCCCCATTCTGTGGGTAGTTGTCCTCTTTCCCCAGCCCTCCCTGTCATTGTTCAATGGGCCCATAAACAAAGCGGCCATGACGGCAGAAATGGGGGCTATGCACAGGCTTGAGTCACAGATTTCCAATCACTAAGGCTGACCTGGTACAGTTACTGCTGAGTGCTAGACCTGCCAACATCAGAGACTAGCACTGAGCCCCAGCTATGGCATCAATCCCTGGGATGACCAGCCAGTGACCTGGTTGCAGGTTGACTACATTGGACCACTTCCTCCATGGAAAGGGCAACACTTTGTCTTTACTGGAGTAGAAACTTATTCTGGTTATGGATTTGCCTTTCCTGCATGTAATGCTTCTGCCAAAACTGCCGAACTAGCCTGGCAGGCAACTTTGGAGCAGTTAAATATCCTACCCAGCTGAGGAGAGGAGTCTGATCTGAGAGAATATGTCTGTCAGTATTACGCCTCTTTATAGTAATACAAAGATAATGAAGACAGTTGATGGCTGGAGATGTGCTAAGTGCAAAAGCAGACCTGACCACTGTACCTTCACTGTGCTTATGGATCTGTAAATGTATCTGCCAGGGCATGAGCACATATATTTTCCAAGCATTCAGAGAACAGAAAGAGCTACTTAACACATATGCAATTACCTGAATTAGGATACCCTTTCTCCCTTTAAACCTTTGCTTATCTGTGTTTCTATTTAGAATAAAATATAATTTTAAAAATATTTCTGGGGATGTAGTTCAGTTTGAGTGTTTGCCTAGCATGGACAAAACCCCAGGTTCGATACCCAGCACTAAATAAACCAGGCATGGCACATGATTATAGCATCAGCACTCTGGAGAGGGAGCAGGAGGAATGGAAGGTGAGTGTATTGTTGGCTAGAGAGCAAGTGTGATGGCACTTGCAACCTTTACCTCTCCAGCTCTTCCTTCTCCCTTCTCTCCCTTTCCTCCTTTTCTCTTTGCTCTCTGGCTAGCCGCCTCTTCTCAGCCAGCAGCCTCGTGGCCTCTTCTGGGTCAGTGGTGCCTGCAGAAGCCTTTGGAGCAACATTGACAGTCGCAGCTGATGATGGTGTTGAGACCGGGGCTGGGTCTGTAGCTGGAGCAGGGGCTGGACTTGGAACAGGGGTCGAGACTGGAACAGCTGTACAAATAGGTACAAGGAGAAAACCAAATGGGACTAAACCCCAAGGAACAAAACAAAAACTGGCATTCCCCATGCCCCCAGGCCTAGGATTCATCATTCTCAAAGAAAAGGGAACATCTACCACCGCGTGTTCTCACGGTTTCCCTGCCTTCTGTCTATCTGTAGCCAAGCAACTGGTAACAAAAACTGCATGTCTAAGTGAGACATCCAACGAAGCTCACACTCTGTCACCAAGGCTTATTTTTATAGCAGTTAAATCAGTTAACAACATCTACTGAATATATCCTGGGAGCCTTGTGTTAGGTTCTGTGGGAAGCTCTACTCTGAGCAAAACGAAGATGAGGGTTGCCATTTGCCTTTTATCACTTCCCAAGTATCCCTATGCTTTGGTGACTTTGTTACCAGCGTATGAAAGCCTTTTAAAATGAGCATCCTTAGCACCCAGACCACATGTCTAGGACTCGGGCCAGGCAGGTGATACCCAATGAAGAGGCTCTTTTTATTTTGATTAATTTGTAAAATCTTTTTTTTTTTTTTGACATAGGGTTTTTGTGTAGTCAGGGATAGTCTAGAGTAATATCCAATGATTTTTCTGCTTTAGCCACCTGACTATTGGGATCACATAACTGGTGTGTACCATTATATTTTGCTAAGAGTTCTCTTTTTGGTCAGGTGTGTTGGTGCATACCTTTTTTGTTTGTTTGTTTGTTTGTTTGTTTTTTCAGACAGGGTTTCTCTGTGTAGCTTTGGAGCCTGTCCTGGAACTCACTTTGTAGACCAGATGGCCTTGAACTCACAGATTTGCCTGCCCTTGCCTCCCGAGTGCTGGGACTAAAGGCGTGTGCCACCACTGCTTGGTGGTGCATGCTTTTAATCTCAGTACTTGAGAGACAGCCTGTGATGCACAGTGAGACTTTGTTTCAAAGACTACCCAGAGCTATCTTGAGACCTGAGACACAAGGATGCAATAGCCTTGTCAGGGCAGGCACACTAGCTGCCCACATACCCATTTGGCCCCAGGAGTGTTTGGGGCAGAAGTTCTTCAACTGTGTTTAGTGTTTAGAAGATGGCTGAGGATGCTACTTGAGCTGGCCTTGTCATGACTATACATGATGGCGTGACACCAGAACTTCATGCTCTGGCATCTGAGACTTCATCCCCCCGCCACCCCCACCTGCTTTTCAGACTTACAGTTCTACTCAATCTACAAAGCCCTTTCTCTCCCTCTTCCCCTCCTTCCCGCCCTTGGGACTAAACCCACAGTTTCACACATGACAAGCAAGCACTCTCACTGAGCTACACACCCTTCATAATACTTTTTATTTTAGTCTCGCTAAGTTGCTCAGTTTGAATTTGAGCTCATGGCTCATCTCAGATAGGCCACAGACTTGAGATCCTCATGCTTTGGTCTCCATCACAGCTGGGATTACTAGTAAGAAGCAGGGGCCCGGTCCTTTCATTAGTGTTTTGCTGTTTGGGGTCCTCATCTTCTCTTTCAGAACGAAGCCAGCACTGGGCTCTTCTTCCACTCCAAAACTTCAACTTGTTCTGATTCCCGTCCTTAAACCCCAGATTGTATTTTATATGAAAATATTTCAACAAGAAAATGTCGAATCCCTAGTTCCAGGTGACTCTAAATTTCTGAGCAACACTGGGTTACCTCACAAAAAACAGCCCTCAATTCCCCTGATCTCTGTCAGATGATTTGACCCTTCACCTCCTATTATGATCCAGTAGGACTGAGGCGAGGCTGGGGACTTGTAGTTTGAAAAATTCTGGAGGGACAGTTTAAAAATATTTTTTAAAATCCGTTGAAAATCTTTTAAAAAACTACAGAATAGCCTGGGGAAGTAGTTTAATGCCAAAGTCCGAGTCTAACACCCAGGACCTCATGAAACTGAAATCCTAGCAATTTGGGAAGTAGAAACAGAAGGGTAAGAAGTTCAAGGTCAGGCTGGAGAGATGCTTAGTGGTTAAGATTACTGGCAGCTCATGTAGAGGACCAAGGTTCAATTCCTAGCACCCCCATGGTGGTTCACAATAACTATAGTTCCAGGGGGATCTCATGCTCTCTTCTGACTCCCACAGGCACCAGGGACACATGTGGCAAACAGATATACACACAGGCAAAACATTCACACACACACACACACATAGTTAGCAAGGTCATCTATGGCCACACAGTGAAGTCACAATACAGAGAGTGGAGGAGAGACAGGGAGAGAGGAGATAGTGAGAATATGAAGTTCAAATAACCAGTAAGAAAAAGTTAAATAAAGCGATGTCTGAAAAGGGCAAACCCAGAGAACTCCAGCCCACACCCCAGCACCAGTGGGTCCATTCTCACCAGGGTCAGCTGGCTCTGCAGGTGTCCCCTCTTCAACTGTGACTTCCTCTACCTTCACTAAGGGTGCTCTGCCCTTTACCAAAGGCTCATTGGCAACCTTCTTCTCAGGGTCTTTTTTCTCAGGCTCCACTTTGACTTCTCTCTTGACAGGGCGGATGTTGCCAGGGGATGAGGGGCGGGCCTGAGTGGAAGCAGCTTTGACTGAGCCAGGAGGCAAGGAGGATGCTGGTCGGGGTGTGCCAGGCAAATGAGGCATGGACTTGGATGGAAGCCTGGACAACAAATGACAAGGACAATGGGTGTGTCAGGATTAGCTTACCAGAACCCAGAACACCCACAAGTGGAAAACTGCACAGATGTTTAGGTGTGAGTATTGTTCTGTATGTGGTCAAAGCAGAAAAGGAGCCCCTAATCTTTAGGCCCATCTCAAAGCTTCATTTTCCTTTCTTACAGGGAGCTTGTTATTCCTCAAGTCAAAGATGAACCATGTGAGAACGGGAGACACTGAGGACAAAAGCTAATTCTCCAATGTGGACACCCCCACCAGCCTCCATCATCGCACTCACCAAAGGCGGGCTGGAGCTGGTGATCTTGCTTTGGGATTAGATGGAGACAGAGTCCTTCGGAAGCCAGAGGAAAAGTGGAAGGGCATGTGTTCTCTTTCTCGCTCTTTTTTATGGCTCTGGGTTCAGAGAAACTCAGTAATTAAAATTTTCTGAGTGACATAGTCATACTCAATGATATCCAGCAACAAGCTACAAACCATGTAGTGTTTTATTAAAAATTTTATTTAAGACAAATTTATAAACCATGTCATATGTTTTATGACATATACACATACATTTCGCTGCAGGAAAAGGCCCCCTGTTAGCTTACAACTGAACAGGATAACTGAATTAACAGAGATGACATGAATAAAGTAGATCCAGATGGATGATTTGGATTGTTTTTGTCAAAAAGGGTTTGGAAGGAGTAAAGGAAAGAGGGAAATGATGTAATTACATTATAATCTCAAAAAAAAAAAGAGAGAAAATAAACATAAACTTTTTAAAAGCACCTATTCTTTTTTTTAAAGATTTTATTTATTTATTATGTATACAACATTCTGCTTCCATGTATATCTGCGCACCAGAAGAGGCCACCAGGTCTCATAACGGATGGTTGTAAGCCACCATGTGGTTGCTGGGAATTGAACTCAGGACCTCTGGAAGAGCAGTCAGTGCTCTTAACCTCTGAGCCATCTCTCCAGCCCCCGCACCTATACTTTTTATGTCTAAAATTACCTGGAGTGAATTTATCTTGTCTCTCACATATGTTAAAATGGGAGTCATTTCCTTTCATTTTAAATTTTGTGATTTTTCTTTTTGCCATACTGGGGATTGAATTCCAGGCTTCATGCATGCAAGGCAAGTGCTCTACTACTGAACCATACTGCCAGCCCCATTTAAAAACAAAAAACAAAAACCTTTAAGCACATCATCTACTTTTTTATTCTCTAGCAATTTTCATCTTTTACTCTGGAAAGTATTGCTTAGTCGTTAAAAAAAAAAAAGTTTACAATAGGCGTTGGTGGTGCATGCCTTTAATCCCAGCACTGGGGAGGCAGAGGCAGGCGGATCTCTGTGAGTTCAAGGCCAGCCTGATCTACAGAGTGAAGTTCCAGGACAGCCAGGGCTGTTATGTAGAGAAACCTTGTCTTGGAAAACAAACAAACAAGAAATTTTACATGTCTGTTATTCCAGAAACATGGTCGGTCCCCTTTTATGTGGCTACTGTAGACAAGTCCTTCTGTAAGGCCACCACTCTCCCCAAGGAAAGTGGGGCTAGGGTGAGAAGTTAAGATTATTCTGTCCTAAGAAGAGATCTAACAGGGAGCTGACACATCAGCCTTCCCCAGAGGGTCAACTAGGAACTCAGCCAGAGATCTGGTCTACCATACAAAGAGAAGCCTGGAAAAGCATTCTACAGACAACATGGAAGGGGTGGGAGGTGAAGGATATGAGGGGAGGGAAGGGGAAGCCTGACAAATGTTTGAAGAATCTCAAGATGAGGGGGAGAGGATGGAGGAGGACAGGAACAAAGGGCAGACAAAGAGAAAAAACCTGAAGGATCTGAGACTGTGACCTGTTATGGGAGGCAGGGAGGCCGGCTGGGCATGTCTGTGGGAAAGTGAGTGCAAGGGAACAAGGGACCAGGAAGATGTCACCTAGCCAGGAGCTGCCAGTGTGCCTCCGCTCTTTTTCTATGAGGGACAGTCGCAATGCTCCCCTCCCTCCCCTTTTGTGTTCCTTCTAATTGTTTCTCACATCTTCCAGAGTAGGACCCTAGCTCACTGACTGGCTGCAAGTGGAGGAGACATTTCATGTTTCCACTGTCTCTGTTGAGTTCCTACCATAAAAGAACTGAAGGCAAGAGGGACCTTCCCCCATGGGGTGGGGGCCAATCTATACCATTCCAGTTGCATAGCCACCCTCTGTCCCATCTTGAATTCCCAAAGACCACACACACAAAGGCACTCCTGGTTTTCACCCTGGTGTGGGTCTCTACAGTCATCTTTCCTCTGGACCCTCTCCTCCACAGTGCTGAGAACACACACATAAGCCGCTCAAGTCTATCTGAAAAAGAACAAACTGGAGCTCTCATAGTTCCCAATTTTAAAACATATTTCGGAGCGGTAATAGTTAAAACAGTATAGTACTGGGATATATAACCAGGCACATAGCAATAGAATAGAATAAAGAGTCTAGAAACTGTAGAGTCTAGGACCAATCAACAGGAAAGAATGTCTTCAGCAAATGTCACCAAAGTAGTCATATGGTCACAGGAAAAACAATGAAACTGGACCCTTCCTTTATATGATACACAAACATGAACTCAAAATGGATTAAAGATGCAAATATGGGTCTTAAACCTGTAAAAAGAGGCTAATATTTATAAAAGTTTCACATTATGGGACCTGTTACTAACTTATGGACCCAAGGCACAGGCAACAATACAAAAGTGGACAAATGAACATCAAAAAATTTTTCTATAGGTCAAAAGCCACAAAAGACTGAACAGGCAACCCATGCTACAGAAGAACACATACACAGAGCCTATTTGATCTGGAGTCATTATCTGGAATAAACAGATAACTCCCACAATGCAACAATTCATTATCAGATTTCAAATGGGCTGGAGACAGGGTCAGTTACAAAGCAATTTCCTTGCATATGCAAGGCCCTGAATTGGATCATTAGCATCACATACATGTAAACACAAACGGTTTAGTAAGTATCTCCCTAAATACATATGCCAACTGCCAATATGTCTATGAAAACTGTGCCACACTAATGGTCACCAGAGATGCAAATCAAAATCATAATGAGAGGCCATTCACATAGACTAGATATTATAAAACAAAACAAAACAAAACAGGAAATAGCAAGTACTGCCAAAGAGGTAGAGAACCTGGAATCCTTGTGAGCGATTGGTAGGAATGTAAATTGGTAGTCACTATGCAAAACAGTATTGTGCTTCTTCAAAAACTAATATAGAATTGACATGATTCTACAACTCTAGTCTTGGTGTGTGTATGTGTGCTGTGCCTACCTATGTATGGAAGTCAGGGGCTGATGCCTTCTCCCAAGCCACCTTGTATTTTGAGATGGGGTCTCTTACTGAACCTGGAGCTTGCCATTTCAGCTAGCCAGAACAGCTGTGGATCTAGATGGGTCTACATCTCAATGCTGAAGTTATACAGTCATAAGGCCTCAGTTGTGTTTTATGCTGGTGTCTGAACTCAGGTCCTCATACTGGCACAGCAAGCACTTTACACACTGAGCCACATCCTAGCCCATGCACAAACACTTTTTTAAAAATTAAATATTCAGTTCATTTATGTCACTAGCTACTTTAAAAAAAAATTCAATATGGCTAATCAGTACTGGATTCCACAGTACAGATTTAGAAGTCATTTTTTCCGACAGTAGTATTCCCCTACATATTTGGTCGTAAGGCAGTGAAAATTCTAATTGATCACACACAGAGAGAGGAAGGCATTAACAAACATAACCAAGCAAGGTTCAAGAGATGACAGACTTTCATTCTGTTAGTCACAGTCAGCCTTCTACCTTACTTTCCAAAAGGGCTCAGATTCTTGTCCTTCCGTAAATAAGCACCCCAACTGTTCTGCTTGGCTGTCACTCTGGTTACAGCCTGGATCTCTACAAAATCAGAAAGCTAACGAAGTGACACTTTACAGACATCAAAAGTAGCTCACCTTTGGCTGTACGGCTGGAAGCCTGTCTCAGTTATGAATCAAACCCTGATGCCTGAAGGGGCTCACGAGAAACTCTCCGGTAGGCAGAATCACCAAGCTCTCACAGCCCTCAAATCTACTGCTAAGCAAACCTTTTAAAGACCAGAATTGCTCTGTCTGGCAAGGTTTTTTTTTTAAGGTTTTTAGCCTCTCATGACAATGGTCACACTATTATCCTTCCAGGCATGCACTGACATGTGGTGGATTGGGGACTCATTATATGACTGAAGTCCAGGGTCCAAAGCCATAGAACAATGTCTGTAACTTTCAACCACAACAATAAGTGCACAGTTTAAATGATGATAAGGGTGGATTTCTAGAGATACATAAATGACCGCACTTCCTTTACAGCAGGATCAGTCATAAATGTGCCCAGTTACCCTGTCGGGAGTAATAAGTACACATACTATCTATCCTTCACTTTAAAGACCCAGGGTGTAGAGTTCTATAGCCTTCCAAGAGGTGCCTACTGAACAAGGAATGTTTCCAAATACTTCTCTTCCCCATGTTTTAAGATATGGGCTTTGACCAGGATATCTATATCTGGTTCAGAGTGAGCAGAGTCAGCTTCTGGAAATGGGATAAATGGTTAGGGGTGGCAGGCCAGGCTCACTTCCCTGCAAAGGCAACTTGGTGTCTGACTTTCAAAAAGTATTCTAACCACTTATTTATATAAACAGCCCAGCAGAATAGACTTGCCTATTGGTACTTGTGTAAAGAACAGTTTCATCCTCAAGTTTAAATGTTTAGGGAGAAACAAAAATCCCCAAGTGGAGAGGCAGTAAGGGGCAGAAGCACACAGCCTTCTGGATTTATAATGGGTGGGACGATATGTTGTAGTCATCTGATCTTGTACCTGGAATACAGTTGAGGGCAGAGCCCACTCCTCACAGAGACAGAGCCTCTCCACCACTACTCACCGCTGTTCCATGAATGGTCCTCCTTCTCGAAGAGCCCTCAGGCGGTGTAACAAAGAGTTTTGGCCGGTCCACGGGATTTCTAGAGTGTGCAGCTTTGAAGGGCATGATGATGGGGCTGGAAGATGCTGAACGAGGACAAATGGGGATGACTAGAGTGCAGTGATTGGTTTTACACACAAGAGTGCCAGAGGAGCAGGTGAAGAAAGCCAGAGGCAGGTTCAGGAGAAGGAGCAGAGCAGATGGAGAGAAAAGTAGAGAGAAGGTGTTACTACCTAACGGCACCCGGCCCCGTGTTCCTCAACTCTCCTTTTACCTGTGTGTCCATGAAAGACCTGGAATATAATGCTACTTGTCTGTTTCAGTTATGACTAAAGACACAGAAACAATCCAGTATTTATGGACAATAGCAGCCTTGCATGACTACAAACCAATGGTTCTGCTACAACCCTGTATGAGTGATGCCATTTTTATGTGAAGACTGATTTATAAACAGATTTTTCCTAGTTACATCTGAAACGGAACGAGGAAGCTGGTGAGTAGGCAAGTAAGGTCTACACCGGTCTCAAGAGCCAAGTTCAGGAGCAAGTGGGGGAAAGTGACTGAGATTTAAAATGTCAGCTGATCAGGTCTTACCAGGTGTTTAAGACTTGTTATAGGGATAGTTAATAATAGCCAGAAAAGAACTGATTTATCCATTTAAAGGCAAGCCTATACATACTTCTGCCCCACGCCCCAAAGCCAAGCCATAGAAAATACAGGGAGACAGGATGAAATTATTTAAAATGGCAAGAACATTAGCATTAGGATTGCCAATACTGTGGCTGAATCATGGTTAGCAGTTACAGTTTTACAAAGGACAGAATTTTTTTTTTTTGAAAAGGCAGTTTTGACAGCTCACCTTCAAAGGAACTGTGCATAGGTTTAAGAGAATTTATTTAATATTGCACAGGTGCCAGAATTTCAGATTTCATTAAAAAAAATCTTGTTCTTCATCAAAAATACCTTAATTGAAGGTAATGCCATATACTCGAGCCAGGTTATAAAATTTCTTTATGCACCCCTAGTTCCTGTATCAGTTCTTAACTTTTAGAGACAGGGCTCACTATGTATTTGCATTCCCCAGGCTGACCATGAACTTGTGGCAATTCCCCTGTCTTAGCATCTGGAGGAGTGCCGGGATTACAAATGTGCACGACCATACCCTGCATCTTTCTGATGCTTGCTCTGCTGGGGGATGGAAACTACGACGACCTTCATTGAGCAGAATTCCAGCTCTAAAGTGCATCTTTCCCAGTAAAGCCTCTCATCACACGCCTCCCAGGATCTTCTCAACATTGCATGGTGAAGCCCGTGGACGGACTGGGATGGGAGCTGCATGCTTTTTTCCTGTATCTCAACAAAACATAAGCTCACCTTTCTTACAATAATCTGAAAGATTGCTATTTTCCCAGTTCTCTCTATAAGAACATGGGAATGGACACAAAGCCCTGCTTCTGATCTTCAGTGGTGAGGGGTAGATTTGTACTTTGAGGTAGGAAACCTCTTGTCTTTGCTTGTGGTGACCCCAAGGGAAAATACTGGAAAATAACTTTGTTTCTTTTGCAATACACTGCAGAAACCACGTCCTGCATGGGGCTTTCCTGGGGACTAATGATCAGCACTTTGCCAGTGCTCAGGCAAAGCCAGGGACTATTAGCCTTGCCCAAAGGTCAAGAACCCCTGGAGAACAGGCCTGCTCTGAGGTCAAGGCTGACACTAAAAAAGAACATAACAGAAACTTGACTTCATTTTCTTGTAAAGTGAACAATTTCATAAGTGTTTGTTGAGGCCATCCTAGATGCAATTTAATTTCATCATGTTTATTCTTCATTGGAGAGTTGAAAAAGCATTAAATGGGGGCAGAATATATTCTCTTCTCACCACGTGGCCCTGGCTACCTTGTAGTTTGCAATGTGGACCAGGCTGGCCTCGAACTCAAAGTGATCCACCTGCTTCTGCCTCCTGAGTACTGGGATTAAAGGCGTGCACCACCATATGAGGTTTGAGAATACCCTGAAGTGCTGTTCTATTTAAAAATCTTCAACCTTAATTGTTCAAGAAATACTTTCTGGCTAAAACAGACACTAGAAATTCCAAAGGGATTAAATCTTGAACATCTACCACTGAAAAGCTGAAACCTGCAAATTGAATAATCTCATTCTTCTGAAGAAACACAAGAGCAATACATACTTCCCACCCCTGTACATTCCATGTCCTGCATCGTTTGATTAAAGAGGATGCAACTGCCTTGAGAAAGTCTTCCACTGCTCCTGGAAGTCAAGAGTACATTAACCCCACCCATCAAGCTCTTCAGTGGGAACCAGTGAGCACAGAGCAAGGCAGTGCAGCTCAAGGGGCTGGGAATCAGAGTGTAAAAGACCTGCACAGTAGGATGGTGACATTATTAAAGCCTGCCATGCACATCTAAAGAGCTCTGATTTGCTTTGTTCTGACCTCTAGTGATCAGGAGCATATTTTGCAGGTTCTGGAAAACCATGGGCTTTGGAAAAATCAACCCAAAGATGGAGTTTCCAACACCCAGGAGCTTTACTGCTTGCTCAGGGTTGTGGGATGTGGGAGTTGGGAGGGGTCCTACAAGCTCTAAATACCTTAAGGGACAAGGGTGCCAGTCTTAATCTGCTACTGTAATTCTATCTATGGATATAGGTCCCTCTTCTGCAATGGCAATTGGGAATAAGATGAAGTAAGAAAGAAAACTAAAATGGAAAGAAAATAATCAGGAAAGTGTATGGAAAATAAAGATGACAGCAGATGTCTCTGAAAAGACAACTAGAGGACATATATTTACATACATAATTCCAAATGGAAATATTCATAAAAGCCAGCTTTTAATCTCATTAAATATAAGCTATCATCAATGTGATAAATAATAATAACCTAGATAATGTACCAAAATTTATAATGTTTCTCACTAAAACAATTACTAAAATGTAACAATTTAATAAAAAAGAATAGAGAAGTCATAAAATAAAGAGCCAATCTACAGATGAAAAGCACCCCAACTAAGCATAACAAGGAAGGGAAGGGGGCCAGGTGGGGAACTAATGAGTGGAAATGAAATGGTATGGGAGAGGCTAGGGGGGAGTGAAAGAATTGCCAAGAGTCAGTGCTGACAGAAACAGCAGAGAAAGACAAGTTTCCAGCTTTGGAACAAGATAACATACAACATGGATTCAGGAGTGTGATGGTCACACACCATGGAGTGTCCACATAACAGGATGAACAAACAGCCTGGAAGATTCAACAGGTTAAGGACTGCTTTCATCACTTGCAAAGAGGTATGAAATTCACAGCATAAAACAGACTATCTTTAGATGCTGCACTCTTTCCTGTAGAAAAAAAAAACCTAGATGCAGTGTGAGTGCCAAGAGGGGAGGCCAACATCCTGAAGGTTCGCCAAGAGGCCTGGAGAGGCACTTCCAGCCACTGCACTTATCTCCAGAAAGAGGTGTTGAGGATGCCGAGATCTGAGTGGTCTTCACTGACCCACATAGGATGGTGAGTAGAGTTGACACTTGTTAGCTCTCTGGGTACTACAGATGAGAGCCACCATAAAATCTCCAAGAGCTTTGTTTGTGCAGCAGACTAATGTGAATGAAGAGACAAAGCATTTTTAAAGGGTGATTTTCAAAGAGGGTGTGCAATTTCCTAAGTGCAAAGGATGAGGGGCTGCTAGGCTGGTTCCCCAGACATGCCATCTGCCCCCAGAGAGACTTGGGAAATCTAAACCTCTGTAGCCAGGAGAGAGATGTTACTCAAAGTCTACATGGATGGTTCTTACCAACTGGATACATTACACTCAATTTTCATTCTGCATTGTAAAGAGTTTTAATGTAACAAGCAGGATTAGGTATGTTCTATATTGTTTGCAATGAATGTCACAAGTAAGTGCATTCAATTAGCCTTCTCAGCTATTCCGGGTTTAGAAGGCAGCTCCTAGGTTACCCACACAAACTTGGCACAGGACTGAGAAGCTGACGTATTAAGAAACTATGTGCTTATGTTGGAGGAGTGTGCTGATTTATTTCCAAGCCTGCACAGTAGCATTAAACATTAAATTGTATCTACTCCCCTTGGTCATCTACTGGGATACAGGGGCAGATAGAAAAGCAGGTAACTGATCCTTGTTTTTCTGCTGATCTTACAAATAAATGGAGGCCATGTGATCACAATGAGGGGGCGTCATCTGCCTGCCTGGTGTCTGGTGTCCCGATAAGATGTTGCAGTGGATGCAAAGAGGAAACAATGCCAAGAACACAGAGCCAACACCAACAGAGGGAAGCACACACCAGCTGAATGGAGGTGGGGTTAAAAGAACGTGGGAAGACAGGCTTCGAAAGGAGGACTGTACCTCACCAGAAAGTTGTGCCTGGACGACTTTACCTGTGTCTCCAGACAAGGCAGCGGTGCTTTTACTTCTGGCCAGGAAGGAATGTGTGGGCGTCAGCAGTCTGTTTACAACGCTGCTCTCCCAGGGGCTGAGCTGCAGGCGGCGAGCTAAATGTCACCACATAAGCAAGATGTTAGGAACACTGTTTGCCGGGCCAAGAGGATGCAGAACATCATACCTAATACCTCCATAGTCTGGACGTTTGAGACAGTCCAGGCTCTCCAGGGAGGACATGTGGCCATGAGTCAGGACAACTGGATCCCTACCCAAGGGGAGCAGTTATTCCATGATCGCTACCTTTCCTCAACACTTAAAGAAGGCTCTAAAGGGGCAGCTGGAATGTATTTTGCTAATCACCCTTGTTAAACAAACAGGTCTTGAAAAGGAAGAACCATTTCAACTACAGATCTGCTACTAAAAAGAACTCATACTGATATGAGATGTCATGATGGGCAGCAGACTGGTGGCACCCATCTCTGACACAGGGATTCCTGTACATCTTAATAATCAGCCTCATAAGGGCTGGCAAATAGAGACTAGATTTACATAAAGGACCGAGGGCGCTGTTAAACTACAATGGATTGCCCTGTATTGTTTAGAGTAACTGGAAGGAGGTGAGCTACACTAAAGTGAAAGAAGGCTCATGACAAGCTGGGCTCTTTCAGGGCCCTGTTTGGCACAATACAAAACTTTCAGCTGAGGATCAAGGCTAAAGCTGAAGAAAGACAAAATTAAGCAGAAATGCCAAAGTCCAAAATTAAGCAGAAATGCCAAAGTCCAAAGTCCAATTCTACTCCCGAAGATTATCAGTGACGTCTGAAGAATTTAGAAAACAAACTTAAAAACAACACAATGACATATCAGTCCCAAACAACCGGGATTTGGCAAGGCCGTGGTTAGGAGATGCATGCTAGTTATGAATTTGTTTACAGGGTTAGCATCTAGTGATGGTGCACACCAAACAATGAAGGTACCAGTGAAGAAGCTTGCAAATTCCTACAGATGCCACTGCAATAAAAAGACCACACACCACTCTTCCAGAACGCCTTCCCATGTCACTCAAGACAGTCTTTATATACTATTTCTTAGAGGAACAATACTTCAAACTCCAGGGAATCTGGTTTAGTTTATAAAACCACATACTGCTACACTGAAAGGGGTTGCTTCTGTGCAGGGAGAACCAATCTCCAGGAAGTCCTTTAATGACATGGCTTTATTTTAAGAGTGACTTTTCTGATCAGAGCTTTAGTTAATTTAAGAATTACTGACTTTTCCATTAGATTGTCTGTTTATTAGGAAAACCGTTATGGTTAAACTATTATTATTATTATTTTGTGACAAGGTCACACTCTGTAGGTGGCCTCAAACTCATAGTAATCCTGCCTCTATCACCCAAGTGCTGGGATCATGGGTTTGGTGCACAATACTTGGCTTCCATGATTACATATTTTCTAGCCTTATGATTAACTAAAAACACAAAGGCAGCAGTGAAAATCACTATGTACTATGATATTGATTCAAAGTGAGAATGTATTGATTAATTTCTAATTATTTACTTATTTTGGAGACAAGTTCTCACTAAATAGGCCAGGGAGCCCTTGACCCTTCCTTCTGTCTCAGCCTCCTAAGGGTGGGTTTAGGCTTTCACCACCACACCTGAAACTGTCTAGACAAATTTTAGCTAAGAGTAGAGAGTTTCATGCTCCCTGTTTTTTTTTTTTTTTTTTTAAGTTTTCATTTATTTATTATGTATACAACATTCTACTTCCATGTATATCTTTATTAAATAAACATTAGAAGAGGGCACCAGATCTCATAACGGATGGTTGTGAGCCATCATGTGGTTGCTGGGAATTGAACTCGGACCTCTGGAAGAGCAGTCAGTGCTCTTAACCTCTAAGCCATCTCTCCAGCCCCTCATGCTCCCTGTTTTTAAGCCCTCTGTTGTTCCTTCTTGAGAAAGATCTAGTTAAATGTGTGGCGTTAAAGATGAGGATATGAACCTTTAATGGAAATTTCCAAATGGCAACACTGTCTCTGTTGTAGAGTTTAGAGGGACAATCAATGAGAACTCACATGCTTTACCATGTGACACTATATTCAGGTATAAAAATAAAAGTATTTTCTTTTTCCTCCCCTTTGTGTGTTCCCGTTTTATTTATGTGTATATATAGGTGTAAGTACATGTTTACACACGTATGAAGGTGGAGTCCATGAGTCAATGTTAAGTATCCTCATCAACTGATATCTATCTTATTTTAAAAAATGTTTTTTTTTTTTTTTTTTTTGGGGGGGTGTGTGTGTGTGTGTGTGTGTGTGTGTGTGTGTGTGTGTGTCTCCTTGTAGAGGCCAGAAGAGCATACTGGAACCCTGAAAGCTGGAGCTACAGTCAAGTATAAGCCACTTGCCATGGATGCTGGGAACTGAACTCATCAGCGCAAGTGTGCTTAAGTGATGAGTATCTCTCTCCCCTCACATGGTTTTTTGAGACATATCTCCTGTCTGAACTTGGAGGGCACTCATTAAGCCAGCCAGACTCAGCAAGCTCCAAGGATCTGCCTTTCTCTGATGCTCCAGGGCTGGGATTACAGGTGAGTGCTGCTAGTCTGGATTTTTTTTTTTAAATAATTTATTTTTATTTCATGTGCATTTGTGTTTTTCCTGCAAGTATGTCTGTGTGAAGGTGTCAGATCCCCTGGAAATGGAGTTACAGACGGGTGTGAACTGCTGTGTGGGTGCTGGGAATTGGACCTGGGTCCTCTGGAAGAGCAGGCAGTGCTCCTAACCATCGAGCCATCTCTCCATCTCCATGGAATTTTTAAAATTAAATTTTTTTTTTTTTGAGACAGGGTTTCTCTGTGGCTTTGGAGGCTGTCTTGGAACTAGCTCTTGTAGACCAGGCTGGTCTCGAACTCACAGTGATCCCCCTGCCTCTGCCTCCTGAGTGCTGGGATTAAAGGCGTGCACAACCACTGCCCAGCTAAAATTAATTTTAATTCATTCATTCATTCATTTTTATTTTTTCCAAGACAGGGTCTCCCTATGTAGCTCCGGCTGTCCTAGAATGCATTAAGTAGACTAGGATGGCCTTGAATTTACAGAGATCCCCCAGCCTCTGCCTTCCAAATGCTGGGATTAGAGGTGTGCACCACTACTGCCTACCTGTGCCTAGATTTTTAAAGTAGGTTCCAAATGAGCTAACTCAGGTCTTCATGCTGGTGTGGTATTTTACTCACAGAGCCATCCCGATCCTCAAATCACAAATATTTCTTAAAAGGTAGGCCACAGAAATAACCATAGCAGCTGCCACTGTGTTTGGAGTGTCTGAGAAAGCACATTTGGGGGAAGTGGCTATTTACTAAGTAACTTGACAGTGTTTCAGTACATTTAATAACCAGAGCTGTTCAGATGTGTTCCAGCCAACCATCAGCCCTGATTGTAGAGCTTCAGTTTCATATCAGCTTAAAGGCTACTGCTACAGGCCAGAGAAAGCTAAAACAATTTAATAATATTGCATAGGCTCTATTGACATTAGTTGATAATAGCTTCTAGTTGAATTTAAGAACTCTTTTAGCGAGACAATAAGGCATAACTAATGTGCAGAAAAAGCTGCCAGAAAAGTAGTCTTACTGAAGATTTTGCTTAACCAAAACAAGCAAACAAAGCCTTTTATATCATGAGAGCCTCTTCCAGGTTGGTCTGATCTGTCACACCAGGAACTTGCTGCAGCTCCTTTGATAGGGGCAGGAGAGCAGGGCTGACTTCAGAGCTCCCCATCTGATACTATCACTTTAGCTTAGCTTTCAACTCTGTAGCCCTGTGTCTTGATTCAAGGAGCAGTTTCCTGGGTCCAGCTGCAGACTAGTTATTGAGATCTATTGGTCTTGGCATCCTACCTCTACTTCTCATTTAGCCAGAGGATGAATATCTTGTTGTGGCTGTGATCTCAACCAATTGGCAGAAGGTAGAAGCAAGTTCCAGGCCCGCCTGGTCTACATACTGAATTCCAGGCCAGTCAGTGTTACGTAAGTGAGACCCCCCATCTCAAAACAGAACAAGAACAAAGAAAGTACACGTGGAGGCCATGAAGGTGAGAACTGTAGGACGATAGAGCTTGGGGAGGGGCTTCTAATCTCACCTCCAGTCCCTCTTGATAATCATTACCAAAAGGGACATTAAAAGTTAGATTCTTAAGCTCTGAGGTACTCAAATCAACAGATGGGCTACCCAATGGATCTTAGTTCCCAAACCACATTACTTTAAGTAAATGCAATCAGATACATCATGCAAAGTTTTTACACATAAGTTTATTTCTAACTGACACAGAATTCAGCACTTTGAATCCCCAGAGATGGGACTGGGCATCATCCTGTTTATAGTCTGTCTCTTTACTCTCATCTTTGCCTGGGACTGCAGGAGGCAGGAGAGCAAGGTGTAACTTAAGAGTATTATAAATCTCTAACTATGGTTTGTCTCAGACCCAGGCTCACAAAAATATGACATTAAAGTGCTGGGTAAGTGACCACTTTAAAAGGAAAGAGATGTGACCAGACAATTGTAGGAACAACATCCACGCTGTATCTATGTTTTATGTTCTAATAAGGGAATGAGCTTGAAACACAAGTCTACCCTCCCCAGAATATACTCCATCTCATCTGCATATTGATGAAGGAAATTTAATCAACAATAAATTAACATAAATAGCCCCTAAAACTTGATTACATGATAATATAAGTGCTTTAGGCAAATTTAGCTTTAAAAAAAGGAACAGTTTGGGTAAGCAACAAGGATAAGAGATTGTTCAGACGTTTACTACTTTATAAATAATACCAACATTCATATAATATTATATATTACAATGGCACTATACCAATAACAAAATACAAAATATATGAACTGACATACACACAGGACATGCACACATTACATTCTTATTAAAGATTAAGACATGACACTTTCCAGTTTTTTAAAATCACCATATTTTGTTACTTTTAAAAAGTATGTGTTTTTTTTCATTACACAATATCTTTGGTTTTTATTTAAAATCATCTTAGTTACTAAAACAAGGAGCTTCTCTTAAAAGCTTGAATGTTTCTCCTATGATGTAAAATAAAACTTTCCTTTTATGAATAACTAAACACTCATGTACTGTAAATCCATAGGATGTATAAACTCAAAACCCAGTTAAGACTCTGGCTGGAAGACCATGATCATTAACCTGTTCAGGAGGTAGTCATGGTGATGACAGCCTTAAAATTAGGTCAATCCCTTGAGACTGAAATGAATGGACAGCAAACAACCAATCACAATGTATGAAATGCTGTAAGAAATGGTCCTCCACATGAGAAACAAACTGGTAATATGAAACTGCCATCATGAATCATTTAAAGTTTTCTTTCGAAAGCCGGAACCTAGAACTCCCAACATATGGATGATTGAAAGAAAGGAACTGTTCAGAACAAGGTTATCTCCTTTCTGGTGGATAGGTGGGTGAGTTCATTTGCTAAACGGTTGAGGGAAGCACCGCTTTGCACTGCTAAAAGCACCATTCAGCCACCGTCTAACACGAGAAACGCTCTCGTCCCAAGGCAAGTGATGCTCGGCCGCTTATTGCCTTTTTACTCTCAAATTTTTTTCTTCCTATTTAAGAAACGTAGGGAGAGCAACTTCAGATGCTATTTCCATCTGTATACATCCAGAAAAGAAAACATCAAGTAAGTAACAGAACAGGTTTGGTTTTCCTTTTGACTGTACCTCTATCTGGAGAATTTAGCAAGGTTGCAGATGAGGACGAGAGCCGCTTGCTAATGACAGGATCAACATGTTTCGAAAGATTCATGGTGGAAACTGACCTCCTGTCTGGATCTAAAACAAATGGAGATAATGCTAATTGACAGCAGGCATGCAGGATTGAAATTGTTCAGTGGTGAAAGGAGAAGCAGGACTGAAGGCGTTCAGCATGATTTCTAGATCTTCCATAACAGCACAGTTTTCTAAGTGGGCCAATGAAAGTCACTTAAAGGCAAGAAATAACACTCATTTTTTCCCCTTAAGAAATAATATAAATGTTTAGTTCAGCAGTTTACATGCAAACATGTTATTATAACATGAGCAGATGAAGACAATCTCAAGGGCGAGGGAAAGGCTACTGAGCTGGTACAGGCCAACTGTAAAGCAAAAAGGCCCAGGACAGTGGGTGTGGTGGGGTAAAATGCACACCAGGGTCTGCTGCTGGTTTCTGCCTATATCCCAGCTACTAGGAAGCTAGTCCAGAACTGTACATTTGAGGCCAGCTTGGGAATCTTTGCAAGCTCCCACTCCCTGCCTTGATTTTTTTTTTTTTTTTTTTTTTTCAGATAGGGTCTCAACGTAGCCTGGCCTGGCCTGGCCTGAGACTTACTACACCTTTGACCCCCTATCCAAGGAATTGCAGGTGCACACCATTTAGTACAAGTCTGTCCATCTGTTTCCTATTCTCCCTCCTTCCTGCTTCCTGTTTCTTTATCTCTCCTGCGGGTTGAACTCTACAACTGAACTGCAGCTCCAGACAGAAAATCAACAAACAAAAAGGGTGCAGTGGTAGAGTTTGCCAACTGTGCCATGGCTCTGGGTTTGATAGTACTGGGGGTCTGTGTGGCTCTAGACATCACAGGTGGAATCAGTACATAAACTTGCCCAGCAGCAGTATAAATCAGAACTCTAAGTCAATGAGTATTATTGTTAAAATTACTCTAGAGCCAAATAATTTAAGAATGGCTTTGGGGTTCAAATCAGAAGGGAAACCATCATTATAAAGGCAAAAAAAAAAAAAAAGTTCTGTTAATTTGCTGTCATCACAGCACAAACAGATCACAATCTTACTCATTTGTAAGTGCATGATGCCTGAATGGACTTGAGATAAAACTCTACCTGTCTCAGTGCGTATCTGTCAGCATTGTGTGCACACTCTGATCTACAATGGCTAATGAAAGCACAATAGAAATGTTCTCTGTAGCACCACCATTTTGCTGTTCCCATGGTCTGAATAATCTGGGCAGTAAACATTTTTGGTGAATTTTACCCTATAGCATAGCCATTTTGATGATTATAATCTACTGGCAATAACTTATTAATGAGATGTGAATTTTCAACTGGGATTAACTTTTATAGCTGGAATCTGTGATTTAAAAAAAAAAAATGACCTAACGTGATTACTGGGACTCATTTTCATTTCTCTGATGGGGTCTGGGCAATGAGAAAACATAGGAAATACTAATGATGGATGATGGATTTGGTGTGTGCTTAAGGACAGATGAAAGCCATATTCATGTGATTTGATAGCAGCATTTCCTGATGTTGCTTCTACACTAAGCTTTAGCTGGGGAGAGCGGTGTCTATATTAAGCCTATCCTCTGGTATTTCTTCATAGGTTACTAAAAACATTTAGTTCTATTTCCTAGTAAGTAGAAAAAAATGAGCTAGACAGTCTCTTATCTACTAACATATTGTGAATGGCCAAGTCTTCAGCTCTGCTACAGATAGTTGAAACCATGGGGGCATGCATAGTGTGTCATCTGAGACAATTTTATTGGTGATTTTATAGATAAAATTGTTTCCAGGGTAGTATTAGCTGATGTACCAGTAGCCAGACAAGATTATAAATTTCATGGGGACCATTTCTAGGCTTGAGGGCTTGGCATGATTAGCAAGGCTTAGGACCAGGCTTGGTGCCGGCATGAAGTGAAGGTGCTAGAGATGAGCAGCACTGGATGTCTCTCCCAATGCCAGTGGGTCATCCTAGTTTCTGAGACCTTCAACAAATTCTAGTCATTTCTCACACGGGTCCCCCCCCTCATACCAGTAGTTGCTCCAAGCTGGATTTTACTTTACAGCTCATAAGTGTGTCACTGACTTTACTGCTCCAGATGCCCAAATAGAGAGCAAGAATTAAGGCTATGTAGGTTTATTGTTTCTCAAAGATGCCTGACACTGTATAACAGAGCATTTCTGTCATATAGACAGGAAGCATGAAGCTCGGTACAAGAAAAACATGGTCATAAAAACATTTACCATGAGCATTTTTCTTTGTGGCACATCCATGAAAACTATTTCTAGATGAAACATCACATGTAAACTTGTCATTTATGATGACAGATTTGGGTGTGCTCCATCACAGGTGGTAAAGAGACACAGGGCGGGGGGAATGTGCTTCTAGGCTTGGTTCAGTGTCATAGGGAAATAAACTGTGGTTATACTTGTTGAACTTAAAATAAAAATTTAAGGGTTACAAAAAACAGTAATAAAAAAAACACAGCAAACATGAAAACAATTCAATTACTCACATAAAAGTAAAAGCTGTCTATGAGTATACTGTATTGATAGATATGGGAGCCATTAAAATGGATGCACTTTGATTATAGGTGATTCTTGGCTAAAAAACAATGTAAATAGACTTTATTAAAAATGACTTAAAGAGAAAGCAAACATGCCATGTGTAATTATTTCAATACCTTTAAGTCACCTGAGTCATGACATCATACTTAAGAAACACTGTGCCCATCTCAGATCTAGGTCTATGCTATAGACAGCAGGCATGCATGATGACCAGGGTGGTGACGGGTCAGCTATCCATGAACTGGTCCTACGTCTCAGGGGCTACCTACAAAGCAGGCAGTTAGCAATACAGGGATATCTGTACCAGATTTTCTAGACCCCCCTTCCCCCCCCAAAAAAAAACTGTGACGTGGTGGTCCACCCCTGCTAAATGGAGAAGGTGAATAATGACTTAACAGAACCACCTGGGGACAGAATGTAAGACATGATTAAAAAAAAAAAAAGGGTATCAGACTCACACAAATGAAAAAGAATTGACATACTATGTAAGAGTTAAGGTGTATTGAATTTACAGTACAAAAATAAATCTTTTGCTAAATTCCTATTTCAATATAATTTTATGACCACTTAAGTAGAGAAGCAGCTTGGACATTTACTACTATATCTTGTCTAAGATACCTGCACACGCTCCTGCAGAACATCAGTGCTGCACATGCTAGTGTCGGGTGCACACGCTCAAAGTTCTGACCCTGATCCAGCTACACTGCTGAGATTCTTCCCAGGAGAAAGGGGCATGGGTTAACTTATCCCCAAAACATGAAAACTTTATGCAAACAAATCACTAACACAGTTCAGACTGGTGAATTTTAGAATATGGCATAGGTTTCATCTCTAGGGGACTCTGCAGCCCACACAAAAGGGAGCTCATACAGAGGCAAACAGAGGTCCTTGGGTTTTACCTCCATCATCCTGTTACCCTCAAACAGTGGTAGCATTTAATTATAGTTTAATGATTTCAGCAGGATTTTTGTTTTGCAATCAAAGATTTGGGGAGGAGGGGAAGCAAATGCACCTTTACTATTCAGGAAAACTAAACCAAACCAAACCAAACCAAACACAAAGAGGAGACTTGAAAGTGGTGTCTGTATTTACCTGCACTGTGGATGTTGTGGCTCCCATGGAGAGGGCCTCCCCATGACCACCGGTTATATTTCTGCTTTGGCTTCTGGCTCCTTTCCATCGTCCGTCGTACAACAGCTTCATGGCGCTCCTTATGTGGGATGGAAGAACCAGTGGTTAGGCTTAGCTAAGTTGAAGGTTCCAGAACTTAAGGCAGAGTGGAGTAGACTACCTAAATTCTTGCCTAAATATTGCTGTTAGCATCTATTTTCTAACTTGTGTACTTTATCTTAAGATGGGAACAGTGACATTCTTGGATTATTTCTACTACCATTAGTTCCTAGTTTAAAGCCCTTGCGTATAACAGATACTCAAATAAATACTTCCCTACTGGGTGTGACACTTCACTTCACTTAGACTGACACTCAACACGTGTTTTTATTTACGTGTATACATTTTATGTAGTGTCTTGCTAGCCTCAAACTTGTGATCTTCCTGACTGCTATGACTATAGGTGTGTACCATCATTTCCCCATTTAATTGGTTGTGTTGTTGTTTGTGTGTGTGTGTGTGTGTGTGTGTGTGTGTGTGTGTGTGTGTGACTGAGATTTAAGGTGTCAGGATCTTATGCATGCTATCATTATTATTTCATTATTTTAAGGTGTGTGACTTTTGTTTACACTGCATTTGTTTAACTCTGTGAGGCTGTGTTACTATGCCTGTCTAAAATACCTGGTGGTCCTAATAAGGAGCTCAATGGTCTACTGCCAGGCAGGAGCAAGGACAGGCGGGGCTGGCAGGCAGAGAGTATAAATAGAAGGAGAAAAAGGAGAAAGAGGATCGAGACAACAAGGAGAGGAGGACCTCAGGGGTCAGCCACCCACAAAGAAGGAAAGTAAGATATACAAAAGAAAGAAAGATAAAAGCCCAGAGGGAAAAGGTAGATGGGTTAATTTAAAGATTAATAATTAAAAAAAAAAGCTAGCTAGAAGCAGTCAAGCTAAAGCCAGACACTCCTAACTAAAAATAAACCTCCATGTGTGATTTATTTGGGTTCTGGGCAACCAAAAAGAGCTAAAGAGTAAAAACCACCAACAAAATGTGTGTGCGTGTGTGAGAGATACAGAGATGCAAGGTGTCAGGACTTTATGCATGCTAGCAAGTGCTTGGCCCATGTCTAAATCCCCAGCCTCATATGGAGCCGTATTCAAAAAATGGAATTCAGGCCGGGCATTGGTGGCACCAGCCTTTAATCCCAGCACTCAGGAGGCAGAGGCAGAGGCAGAGGCAGGCGGATCTCTCAGTTCGAGGCCAGCCGGGTCTCCAGAGCAAGTTCCAGGATAGGCTCCAAAGCTACACAGAGAAACCCTGTCTCGAAAAACCAAAAAAAAAAAAAAAAAAGAATTCAGAAAGTGAGGGTACAACAATAATTTTTCTTCTCCCCATACCCACACACAGAGTGCATATTGAGGAAAAGTTAGAGAGAACTCTCAAGAATGAGAGGGCTCCAAGAAAGGAAAACCTTTTTATCTGTGATGCATGAATGGTACATAGCCAGGCTAGCCTTGAACTTGTGGTAACCCTACTGCCTCTGTTTTCTGAGTATTGAGATCACAAGCATGTTCCACCTCACCTGGCAAGGACACTCACTGCTTCCTATGCTGTATTACCTGTGTAACCTAATAGCCCGTCTGGGGAAACATATAACATTTATTTAAGGGTTGAGTGAATGTTAAATGAGGTACATCTGTGGAAATATTTACCTACGTGGAAATGTTTACAATAGCAAGACCCTATGGAAGATCACTTGGGGATTTTAGCACATCAGTACGACGAACAAAGCATGAATGAGATTATGTTTTCATGAGAAACACGAGTACTCAAAGTTCCAGCAGCAACACTGATAACCAGGTATCCAGTCCTCCCCCACCCCCGCCCCTGCCCTGTGCTTCCCAGCACCGGCAGCTATCTGGACCACTGACTACATGGCAACCGAACATCTAGCACTACGGAAGCAGGGGAACGGTCCTCTACAGAGGGGCGTGGTCGTACCTTGTCCTCCTCCAGCCTCTGCCTTCGCTTCTCCTCCACTGCAGCCCTCCTCCGCTCTTCCTTCAGACGCTGGTCCTCCAGCTTCTTCTTCCGTGCTTCCAAGTGCCTTTCATAGTGCTGCCGGGCTCGCTCTTCTCTTTCTAGCCAGATGATTTCTCGTGCAGCTTTGGGTGAAAACAGGGAGATCCAACACAGGCAAGCTTGAGGACTTGAGTAGTTAGTGCTGGGTAAGTGGTCCACACTGAATGGGCTATCAGTTTGTGCAGCTCCAGCTTGGCCTTTGCTCTCCTCGCTATGTCAAAGAGGCTGCCCTGAATTCTGCTCTTTGGGAACATGTATAGCTCTCAGGTTTCTCTGTGTAAACAGCCCTGGCTGTCCTGGAACTCACTCTGTAGACCAGGCTGGCCTCAAACTTAAAGAGATCCTCCTGCCTCTGCCTCCTGAGTGCTGGGACTAAAGGCATGCATCACACACCAGGCCATATATATAATTGTAGATTTACAAGATGAAATGACTGTCTTCCTCTTACCCTGGAATCCATTATATCCCATTTCTATCTCCATGAGTGACATATACCATTCATATTGTTTCAGAGTGTAACTATTCTGCACTTAACTTTTTCCACTTAAAAGTCTCAGAAAGCTTCTCATATTAAAATAGGAAAACCTGGGGGGCTGGAGAGATGGCTCAGAAGTTAAGAGCACTGACTGCTCTTCCAGAGGTCCTGAGTTCAATTCCCAGCAACCACATGGTGGCTCACAACCATCCGTTTTGAGATCTGGTGCCCTCTTCTGGTGTGCAGATAAACATAGATACATAAGAAATAAATAAAATCTTTTAAAAAATAGGAAAACCTGAATCTAACTGCATTTTTAATGGCTCTGCACCATTTTATCATCTATGTATTGTTCAAATAAACAATTATCGCTTGCTTGATAGGTTATCTGAAACATTTTTATGATTTTACTAATTCAGACTTTGAGTTACACCATTGTGCTAGCATAGATCTCTGTAGATGTGTGGGTATATCCATGCAGAAGCAGAATTGCTGAGTCAAAGGGAATACTACAAAAATCTGAAGGACACGAGGCTGGGAAAGTAGTCCAGTGGGAATATGTTTGCACAGCATCTGTGAGGCTCCAGATTTGATCCCAGCATTGCAATGCAGCAATGAAATGAAGTAAACATTTGTGACTAATTTCTTCTTTGGATGCATGCTCCTCCGATTCTTAAGATCTTGCTTGCTTTCCTTGCCCTGTTCTCAACCCAACCTCCCTACTCCAGTTAGCCTGCATTCCCTGCCCTGCTTTCCAGCAAGGTTTCCCTCTTTCTGTTCCTGTTCAATTTCCGGCTAATCCACTCTTGAAGGCAGTGGCTTCACACCTGTCGTGCATGTAATAACCACCTTTGGAAGTGTAGGAGGTAAAGGGTAAACACATCTAGTTAGAATTAAATCTCTGGGCTCCAACCCTCATATTCAGGGTTACTAATAACAACATGATGTTTAGTTTTTACTTTTTGCTGGTGCTGGGGACAAGTAATTTATATATATGCATATATATATATATATACATATATATATATATATATATATACACACACTATACATATTATGTATATATATTTTTTGGGGGTTTCGAGACAGGGTTTCTCTGTTGCTTTGGAGGCTGTCCTAGAACTAGCACCTGTAGATCAGGCTGGTCTTGAACTCACAGAGATCCACCTGTCTCTGCCTCCTAAGCTCTGGGATCAAAGGTGTGCACCACTACTGCCCGGCTTAATTTATATTTTTAATAAACCTTGCAGGTAGATTTGAGACAAGTTTTCCACTGATGGCATGTGAAGGGACCCTGCAACATTTGATCTTCTGAAGGAACTTCTTGACATCTACCACAAACTTTAGCATTTCCTAGTCTCCAATTTCTATGTAGCAAAAGTTATCTCCTCCACCACCTGCCCCAGCACATAAGTTTCACTACTTGAACACATCCAAACATGTTAATTATTTCTTCCTGGCTTACTGTGAATTATTGATTGGATAACCCAATCTTCGGTAAGTTTTCTGAAATGAGTTCTATCAGAGTAAGTTATGGGAACACATAGGAGCTTTCTTGTTATGAGGATTCAAATATAATTATACTTAAAGCAGTGAAAATCGTTTTCTGGACTTAAGCATTCAGGAAAATTGGCCACCAACATTTCAATTAAGAAAACAAAAGGCTTGCTCTCATGGTTGTGGCTACAAATCATGAGATTTGACATTATTAGTCAAGTGACTAATTTTACAGCAAATAATCCTTTGAAAGAAGTTTTCTTTTCTTTGAAAAGAAATGGGGGCTACTAGGGGACAAACTGTAGCCTTGCACACCCATACTAGGTAAGCACTCCCCCTCGGAGCTACACTCACCTTGAGTCAAAGCTTTCTCCACTTCTTTCTGTCTCCACAGGAAGTGGAGACTCTATTACCCTGCACTCCCCCCCCCCCCCGGGCAATTGTTACAGAGAACAGGCAAACAATGTTAGAAAAGCAAACATTACTTTCTGGTCATCTTAGAGCCCATTGCTGAGGGCTAGGACTGTGGGTGAGTTCATGGTAACATGCAGAACACTTTGGTACAGTGCCATGCTCTTGTATGGATCCAACACATGCAAATAATGAGGCAATTATGTGTCAATCTGGGTAACTCCTATTCTATTGGCACAGAGCATTCAACTACTAAAAGAATACAGGTAGGACAGAGAACCCAGAGTGTGTGCTCACAGCCTGGGTGGACACCCCACCTATGCCCATCACAGTCTGGGACTGTCCTGGTCCTCCTGAGCAGGCCGATATCTATACAGGTAGAGAACGTATTTCACTGCTGTTTGAGGAACAGAATGGAGAACACATGAATGTCATCAACTTCTGCAACATGTTCTCTCTCTCTCTCTCTCTCTCTCTCTCTCTCTCTCTCTCTCTCTCTCCCGTGCTAGGGTCTGAACTCAGGGCTTTATACTCTACAACGAGGCTACAACTCCAATCTGAATTTCGAAATAAGGTGCTGAAGCAGTCCTAGTACAATGAGTACTAGAATAGCCAATAATACCACAGAGAGTCAAACTCTGATCTGGGGGCCCTGGTAAAAATATAATATAATATAATATATATATATGTATATATGTATATCTTTATTAATAGTTATTATAGTATTTATTAATATACTATTATTACTTTAATATCATGGGGAAATTAGCTGATTTTTAAGTTAGAGAAAAAGTATACAATAATCTTTAAGATACATGTATTGTGTATATGATTTATTGATTTGCTGAAATAGCATCTTACTATGCATTTCAGGCCAGCTTGGAACTCACTATATAACTCAGGCTGGCCTTTACCTCCCCAGTGCTGGATTTATAGGCATGCACCACTATACTTTGCTTTATTTTCATTTTGAATGTGGAGATTTTAACTTGAAGATTTTAATCTTAGGGCTGTGGATACCGCTCATTGGTAGAACACTTATCTAACATACACAAGACCTTTGGCTTGGTCTTTAACCTTACAGTTTACTCCAACTCTTGTTGGAATTGTCTACATTCAGGTAAATGCCCTTTCCTTCCTTCCTTTCTTTTTTTGGTTACTGCAAACACAATAAATATATGTAATAATTCTTTGAAGGAGATGTGGTGTGATTTAGTTCATGGGTTCTAAGAAAGGGGCTGTGGGAAGGGGAAAATAAAAGAATCTAGAGATGGAGAGTAAATTTATTTTACAGGACTTTTTTTTTTTTTCAATTAGCTAACCCTCAAATAATCAGATACACTGCTTAAAAGACTCAGCATATAGCTCATTTACCAGTAACATGCTTGCTGCTTATGCAAGGCACTGGAGTTGCTCTCCAGTCTACCAAGAAAAAGGAATAAATGACAAAGAGCTATAAGACTAATGAAAGTAAAAATGTAGTAAGGAAAACACAAACTCTACAAAGAAGGCCCAGAATTGAAACAAGAAGATACAAAGAAGTTAAATGATGTTCCCAAGATCATACGGTGCAAAAGAACTAAGCTGGGATTTTTAATTCAGCGGATTCCAAAGCTTGGAATCCACCTGCACATTCTCACCTACCCTAAAGCAGAACCCGCTCCTACTTGTCTTTTCCCATCAGACTCCTGGGACACTGTGTGAAGTCACACCTTAGAAACTGCTCTCAGATCCAGTGTGCTTTCCCTAACTCTCGATGTTTTTGTATGAACTCCTGCCCGCTTTGTACTGGAGTCTACTCTTTTACTTCTTCACATCTACTCTATTTGCTTTTCTCAATACACAAATCTCTCTGAGCCCTCACTGGGGCTACCTCTGTCCAGGATCTCTCCTGCCTGATAGTCTGACATTCAAGCCTCTTCCATTCAGAGCTGTACCAGAGGTGTCACACCACCCCTCTCCTGCCTGTGTTTACAGTATCTAGTCTAGGGGGATCACTTAAAACATGCCCTGGGTGCCATCCCTAGAATGGAGGTGGGCAAGTGAAGGAAGGAAGGACAGGAGGGAAGTAGGGAGGGGAAACTAAAGGACGCTCAAGCAAAGTGACTTACATTGCTTTGATGAATGTAACCCAAGGATTTCCTATTTCCCACTTACTATTAATTAATTTTATTAATTTTATTTTTTTGTAGAGGGATTTCACTCTGTAGCTTAAGCTGGTTTTGAGCTCTGGGTAATCCTTCTGTCTTAGAATCCCAAGTGCTAGGATAAAACTGTCTTTCCCTTTAACTATAATTGGAGTATGCAGTGGAGAGCTGTGTGGTGTGGCCTTGCAAGACACCCACAACAACCACAACACTGTCTCCTGTGTGAGGGGTTTCCCACTTGGTCTGTTTCCCTGTGCTTGAAGGCTAGCTGAGGTGTTTGAACAGCAATTCACACATGTGGAAACCCTAGAACCCCTTGTGTGTGGGGAGAAAGAATCAAGACAAAGAGAGTTCTCAGAAATTCTAATCTGTGTTTAGCCTCTGCTTGACCAATGGCTGTCCTTGGAACTTCCGGTTACCATTCCAACCCTAATCTCTGACACTCCTCATAGAATGGTAGCATTGTCCTCTCTTGGTTGTCTCACAGAGCCCATCCCAGGAACCACAGATACCCCTGGATCTGCTATTCCTTAGCTCAGAAAAATCAGGCCCA